TCGCTCTTCCGCCTCTTTCTCTTCGCCTTTCCTCTCCCTTTCTCTCTCTCTTTCCTCGTCGTCTTGCTCCCTCTTCCCTCTTCGCCTTCCTCCCTCTTCCCTCTTCCTCTTCGCATTCTTCCTTTCTCTTCGCTTCCTCCCTCTTCCTCTTTCGCTTCTTTCTTCCCTCTTTCCTCGTTCGCCTTTCTTCGTCCCTCTTTCCCTCTTCGCGTCGTTTGTCTCCTCTTTCCTTCTCGCCTTCTCGCCCTCTTCCTCTTCGCCTTACTCCCTCTTCGTCTTTTCACGTCTCTTGTCTCCCTTCCTTTCCCTTCCTCCCCTCTTTCCCTCTTCGCTTCCTCTCTCTTCCTCTTCGCCTTCCTTCCCTCTTCCCTCTTTCGCCTCCTCTCTCTTCCCTCTTTTCCTCGTCGTCTTTGTCTTCCCTTCCTTCCCCTCTTCCTCTTCGTCGCCTCTCTTTCCTTCTTTCCCGTCGTCTTGCTCCCTCTTTCCTCTTCGCCTTCCTCTCTCTTTCCCTCTTCGCCTCTCCCTCTTGTCTCCTCGTCGTCGTCTTGCCTTTCCCTCCCCTTCTTCCCTCCTTCGCCTTCCTCCTCTTCCCTCTTCCTCTCGCCTCTCTTTTCTCTCTCTTCTCTCCTCTTCCCTCTTCGCCTTCTCCCTTTCCCTCTTGCCTTCCTCTCTCTTCCTCTTTTCCTCATCGTCTTGTCTCCCTCTTTCTCCTCTTCGCCTCTTCCTCCTCTTCCCTCTTCGCCTTCTCGATCTTCCCTCTTCCTTCGTCGTCTTGTCTCCCTCTTTCCCTCTTCGCCTTCCTCTCTCTTCCTCTCGCCTTTCCGCCCCTTCCTCTTCGCCTTTCCTCCTCTTCCCTCTTTCCGTGTCTCTGTTCCCTCTTCGGTCGTTGTCTCTTTTCCTCTTCCCTTCTTCGCCTTCCTCTCTCGCTTTTCACGTCTCTCTTTCCTCATCTTCGCCTTCCTCTCTCTTCCTCTTTTCCGTCGTCTTGTCTCCATCCTCCCTCTTCGCCTTTTCTCTTTTACCTCTTCGGCCTCTCCTCTCCCTTTTGCCTTCCTCCCTCTTCCCTCTTTCTCTCGTCTTGTCTCCCTCTCCTTCGTCTTCCTCCCTCTTCCTTTCCTCTTCGCCTTGCACTCTCCTCTCGCCAGTCTTCGGACGTCGTCACTTTCTCCTATCTCTACTCTTCCCTCAAAAAAAAAAATAAACAAAAAGAACAAACTAAAAAATAAAGAAATAAAAAAAAAAACAATAAAAAAAATAAAAAAACAAAAAAAAATAAAAAAAATAAAATAAAAAACCTTAATAAAAAAAAAAAAAAAATAAACCAAAATAATATCCCACTCTCTCGGCCTTCTCCCTCTTACCTCTTTGCTTCCTCTCTTTGTCCCTCTTCGGCTCCCCTCCCTCTTCGCTCTTCGCCTTCCTCCACTTCTTCCCTCTCGTTTGTTACCCTCTTTCCTCTTCGCCTTCCGCCCTCTTTCCTCTTCGCTTTCCTCCCTCTTCCGTCTTTCCACGTCGTCTTGTCTCCCTCTTCCCTCTTCGCCTTCCTCTCTCTTCCCTCTTCGCCTTCCTCCCTCTTCACTCTTCGCCTTACTCCCTCTTCCCTCTTCGTCTTTCCTCCCTCTTTCCCTCTTTGCTTCCTTCTCTCTTCCCTCTTCGCCTTCCTCCGCTCTTCCACTCTTTGCCTCCTCTTCTTCCTCTTCTTCGCCTTCCTCCCTCTTCCCTCTTTCCTATCCGTCTTGTCCTCCTCCTTCCCTCTTCACCTTCGCTCTCTCTTTCTCTCTTTCTGCCTTCCTCCCTACTATCCCCTCTTCGCCTTTCCTTCTCTTCGCCTCTTCCTCGTCGTTCTTGTCCCCTCTTCCCTTCTTCGCCTTTCTCCCTCTTCCCTCTTCCCTCTTTCGCCTTCCTCCTTCTTCCCTCTTCGCCTTCGTCTTCTTGTCTCGCCTCTTTCCTCTTCGCCCTTCCGCCCTCTTTCTCTTCGCCTTACTCCCTCTTTCCTTCTTTCCACGTCGTCTCGTCTTCTCCCTCTTCCCTCTTCGCCTTCCTCCCTCTTCCCTCTTCCTTTCGCCTTCCCTCTCTCTTCTCTCTTCGCCTTCCTCTCTTCCCTCTTCGTTCCTCTCTCTTCCCTCTTTCTCCTTGTTCCGTTTGTTGTCTTCCCTCTTCCTTCTTCCCTTCTTCCCTCTTCCTCTTCCGCGGCTTTCCCTCTTTCCTCGTCTCTTGTCTCCTCTTTCCTCTTCGCCTTCCTCCCTCTTCCCTTGCTCGCTTTCCTCCCTCTTCGCGTCTTTCCACGTCTGTCTTGTCTCCCCTTTTTCGTTCCGTCTTCCCTCTTCCCTCTTCCCTCTTCCTTTCGCTCTTCGCTTCCTCTCTCTTCCCTCTTCGTGCCCTTCCTCCTCTTCTCCCTTTCGGCCTTCTCCTCTTCCTCTTCATCCTCATCGCTTGTCTCCCTTTCCCTCTTCGCCTCTCCTCCTCTTCCCTCTTTCTCCCTCTTCCCTCTTTCCTTCGT